GTCCCATGGGATGGTTTCTGAGAATAACGGTAGTTCAATGAAGCTACACAAAAGAGAAAAACGCATCTCCAGGCTCACCATATTATCCACGTTAACACATAGTGTAGCGAGAACGACAAGACAGGGGGTAGACGTTTATTGCACACCGAAAATGGGCACACAAGGGTCTCGCGCGCGCCATCGAATATCGACTAGGTTTCCGTCCCACAACGCAACACAGGTACGGATGTTAGAGCCGAGCCAGTCCTTTCGCCTCGGGAGCTCTGACTTGGAAGATCCGCCTTCCTGTTTTCGCCTCGATCTCCGCTTCTCTGCACCCGATTTGGATCGGCCAGGAGTCGTTCGAGAGCTCTCGACTTGCTCGTTCTGGGCTGTGTCAATCGGCTCGGCCTCGGTCCTGTGGGCTGCGCTAGCGGCGTATTTGTCTGATTTATTGCGCTGTCCACATATTCCCGCTCCGTAGTTCCGGACCCAGGCTCGTCGCTAGCCGTCCTTCTCGATCCGCTCTCAGCTCGCTCCGAAGAGCTCCCCCGAGGCATTCTTGGAAGCGGCCCCTCTACAATAGGTATGTCCGTCTAACCCGATTTCGTGGGATTGGTGAGCACTATGTTTGTCTACGTCTTGTCGACATTGAACGAACATAAATCAGATAAACTAAGGTAAATGGTGTAAAGCACCGTCGAGTCATTTATTAAAAATGGGTGCAGCGTGGAAGTGGAAAGGACAAAAATCGAAAGAGCGTTCCACGATTGACAAACTCGAAGAGAAAAATAATTCCGGTGGCACTCAAGCTGACTGTATTGGGTGGCAAGTTTCAATTTGACCCCACAATATTGTGTTGCAGCTAAGCTTCAGGTGGTGGCGGCAAGCGTGACCGGGGTTGTTCAAAATCTGGAACGCCAGAATAACGTCACCACGTAGACAGCAACATTTTCCGCTGTACGCTCCCAGGGCTTTCAGCCGTCTATGGTATTGAAGGTGGGACAACCCCTTCACATTTTCGTTGCCGGTTGCTACGCGGTCTCCAGTGCAACGAGGTCGCGTTTTAACCAGGGTCGCTAAGTCTGGATCGCGTACTCTATGTGGGGCCTCACATACGCATTGAGCATTTTGGGGTAAGATGGAGGGATCGAACCTTCCGAATTCCCTCCGTAAGAGATCAACATGTTGGTTCGCGGTTTTGGACTCCTTCAATGACTGCGCCGAACAGCTGTGGTTGTCTTGGATCACTACTCCAAAGTCGCGATTTTGTGAGGCGGTTTTCAGAATGTTGTCTCCAAGCTTATATGCGTACGTGGGCTTGTAGCGGACATGCACGGTTTTGCACTTGTCTGTGTTAAACGGAAGTAAATTTGCTTTTGACCATTCAAAAGCGGAGACAAATTCACTTTGCCTCATATCATGAACTTCCTGACAGTCGATTGACCGTCATGTCTTAATTTCATTGGCAAAAGGCAGGAAATTTAACTTGCTGACACTCGAAGGGTTGTTAGTGAAGGATATGAATAACCGCGGCTCTAACACCGACCCTTGTGGAACACTGGAGTCCATATCAATTGGATCAGAAAATGAGCCACGAACTAGGACCTGAAGGCGGCGCCGAAAAAGGAAATTACTGATCCACCCAAGTACAGTGTAACCAAATCCGGATGGTTGCAGCATTTTTAGGAGGAAGCGGTGGTCCATGCGGTCGAACTGTTTGGAAACTTCTAGGTACATGCCATCAATGTCGCTCCCACTGTCGGCTATCTCGGTCCGACTGCCAATAATCGCATAATCAGAAATGAGACTGGATTAAGCCGAAAGTTCCACAGAACCAATTCGAGGTAGGGATAAATCCACCAAAAGAGAGTCCTAACAACGCAGCCACAGGACAACTAACCAGGAACCGCTGACCACAGATTTCGTAGTACAGCCGAACTGTGCTTAAAATGCACTGTAAAATATAACGGTATCCTGCATGTGGTCTCCATTTTACATTGATGGGACGATACAAGTGCATATTTGCTTGCTCTTTACTTCAGTATTGAATGTTCTGTAAGGAACAATGTAAAGTGAGGATGATTTGCTTTAATGCAAAAGCCAGTTTCTCATTTTCGTTTTGTATGGGGCATTTATGAACCGAGAGATTACTGAAATCATCTAACTAATTAGAAAAAACAAATGAGTACTCAGGTCCCATATAATAGTTCACTTCAATCCAAACATTTCATGTTGAATGTTACATAAAAGGTCATCTGTATCTAGGAAGAAAACCGCGTTGAACATCTCAGTGGATGTTCGGGTGTTGAAAACGATGACACATCCTAAAGTAGTTGTACAAACAGATCAATTATATGAGGACGGAACTGTTTGAAACGAGAAACAGGATAACCTTAGTGTTCGAGAAGCATTTAGTGGACACCAGTCACCAGGCAAATTCCGGTGAATTATGCACAGTCCCCGGGCATATTCAAAAACAGATACCCTGGCCACTTAAGCTCGTCGTTATTGGTCGTGACAGACAGTCATCTGCATTCAAAAACTGTTCAGCTCAGTCAAACAACTCTGATCCGGCACCGAGAAGCGGTGGATCCAGTTACCACTGGTGCATCGGTCCAGTTGTACCACAATAGTTTGAAGGTACAAAGCACATGACGGAGAGTGCAGCGCAGCACGTCAGTCTTTTCATTGATACTTGTATGTATAGCTACTGCATCATACGGTAGAAGAGATCTACCGTTCGGGTAATCAAGGTTCGTCAGTCGTTCACCTGGCGGAAGTTTCACTGGAAAAATCTAAGAGAGCAGTATCATTCCAGTTCATTTTGATTGCAAAGTTGAAGAGGAAAGGAGATATTAGACAACTCTGGCTATCCACGCTTGTTGTGGAGAACACAGGAGACACTTTTCCGTAGACACTTAAACGGCCCCGGGAGTCAAGGTAAAGAGACTGAACAATGAAAAAGAAATTAGCCGGCACGCCCTCCATGGATAGACAATGCTAGAAGGTGGCGAGATCAAAAGAGACCAAGACGGATTTTAACTAAAGGAAAATCACCAAAGTCGGCAGTCTGTATGTATGTCTTTGCCCTATCGCTTGGCGAAGAGTAAACATGTAATCGATGCAACCACTACTATAGCAAAAGCTAGCGTGGTTTTGGATGATTCGGCTCCCAAGAGGACCAGTAAGTCGTCGAGGAACACTAAGTGTCAGAAGTTTGGAAGAAATGAAAAATGAAAAATGTCTCGATGATTTGAACATTCCTGAAGACATTCACCACTCTACAGGCGCCCCTTTAGGGTCCCAAATTGTATTGAATAAAGCGAGAAGTTCAGTCAACAAAGAGTCAGCTCCATCTTCATTAAATACCAGGGACATCGTCGGGTTCAGGAGACTTGTCTATTTTCAACATATTGAAAGGTATGATCAAAATGATTGTGTGCTAGTGGTTAAACGTTTCGAGGAGTCCCAACTCCCATGAATTTGTTGTAAGCACTGTTGTAAAAGATTAGAATTCCGCACATGTTACGTAATGTTGTAGGATTATTCCGTATACTAGTGTTTTAGTATTTGAACGCAGACAGCCATAAATACTCCTGTTCTCTCCCAACTGATGGTAGTTATCAGCCCCGTGCAATGCCTCAAACTCTCCTGTAGTGTCCCACTGTTGAATAAATACTTTTTATGCAGCAGTCGGCGCTATGTGCATCTTTATAACGAAGCAATAGAGGAAGTTACTGAATTTCTTTAGCACAACATAAGCAGAGTTTAACGCAGTCTCGTCGTAGCGATAAAGTATGCGTTTATGTCTTGGATAGTAAAAAAGGAAGGTATGCCTCAGTAGCAGCCAACAGTTTAATAGGTCACCTCAAGGCAATATTTTGGTGCTGCTCATCCCAAGGCTGACACTCCACGACCGCAGTTTCATCCTGGTTTGGACTAATCAGGTGGAGATAGCCTGAGCTGGGGCGGGACTGATTTCCACTCCAGCTCAGGCTATCGCCACCTGATGAGTCCAAACCAGGATGAAACTGCGGTCGTGGGGTGTCAGCCTTGGGATGAGTAATGCCAAAACATTTTCATTTCACTTACGGTCCTTGTGATCTGAATGACCGAGGTCCACCTCAAGTGAACCGAGGACTCAGTAGAGGTTGATTGTAGCAACCCAACCACCAGCGGATCCTCCAAGTCCAACTTTGCATTTGTTTCCGCTGGACCAAGCGTTGCTCGCGGATCTCAGTGGCTTAGTGCTTATGGCGTAAACCAGGAGCCACTAGACGCTGAGTTCCAGCCCAACTCAGGCTATCTCCAACTGATGAGTCCTAACCAGAACGAAACCGCGGTCTTGGGGTGCCAGCGTTGGGGTGAGCTTCGCCAAAACTTCCTTTTCACTTACGGTCCTTGTGATCTGAATGACCGAGGTCCATCTCAGGGGAACCGTGGACACAATAGCGGTTGCTTGTAGCAACCAAGCCACTCGGCGGATTCTTCAACTTCAACTTTGAACTGCTTCCCGCTGTACCAAGTGTTGATCACCGATCTCAGTGACATAGTGTCTATGACATCAGCCGTTGACCACTAGGCTCTGATTTCCACCCCAGCTCAGGCTATCTCCACCTGATTAGTCCAAACCAGGACAAAACCGCGGTTGTGGGGTGCCCGTATTGGAATGAGCAACACCAAAATATTTCCATTTCAAATACGCTGCTTGTAATCAGGAATGATCGAGATCCACCTCAAGTGAATCGAGAACTCAATATAGATTGCTTGTAGCAACCCAACCACACGGCGGATTCTGCAAGTGTAACATTTAACCTGAGGGCAGTTCATTTCACCGAGATTGTAGTGGGACCTTACAGTGAGAGCCACCAGACTAACTGAAATTATGGTAGAGACTTTGATCAGAAACACCTACACACTGGATTCCTTAGCATTGCATACGGAAAGGAAGGGGGTAGAGAAGTGCGACAAATTCACATCGTTGGGTTCCAAAGATATAAGCTTCCTAAAGCACAACTTTACCCTTTGTGAATGAAGGTGGTCAGGAGAAACAGTAGTTTTCTCGACACAGCTGCGTCATCCCCGGTATATGGTCCCGGGAATAGATTCATTGTTTTGTTGTTTACTAGAGGCGCGCCCATCCAGTAAGCCAGATCTTCTCCAAAAGTGGATCCCGTCACCGTAGTTTTGTTCATTTCTCGTTGGTTTGTTTGGGCTGAATTCGCTAAACTGTGATGACGAAACATTGCCAGGAAAGTGCGCGCCTTTGCAGTGGAAGGCTGTCTATCTGCTTTCTTTAGAGAAAGATGCAGTTGCAATGTTTGAACAGCTGGTGCCAAATAAAGTCCGTCCGATAGGATGGTTAGAATTTGCTGCAAATCGGAAAATGTAAAAAGAAGACGAGTTACTGATTTGCTGTTATTCATCCAAAGCTGTGGTAATAAAGGCGCAGAAACCGGTAAGTCCATTTCCTGGTAATTAAATCAATTTCGCCAGTTCGCTGTTAAACGATGTTTAAACGTGATCCTAAGAAAGCAAGTTTGCTTGGGGAGATAAGGTGGTAGGCTTAGGCTGCACAACAAAGTAGAGCCTTTGTGCTAGGCTTCATGAAAGCACAAGTGCTTGAACTCATTAACACACTCTCAAATTCCTGCTATAACCGAAAATTACTGCGCCTACCATCATCAACAAAATACACGAAAGCCGGAGATGAGAAACGCTTAACTATCATGCTGGAGTACATTACACATGGTAAAAAGTAAAAGAAAGAAAGCGACAAAGCAAACAAAGGGAAGCAGATGATATGAAGAGGAGTTTCGGTGCTTTCGCACCCAAACATACACTCCATACATGGTCTCGCCTTGAATTTGACTCTTATGGAGAAGATAGCCAAATTTGACAGTGAAACCCAACTCATGGTATTTGACGGCCCAGGCTTTCGCCAATAAGCCTTTGAACTGTAACAGTAGTGATCGACACAGTGGCTAGAAATTCATTACGGGGAGGTTGAATAGCTGATTGCAGCAAGCAAACCCAAGAACGATCACGTTTTACTTTGAACAAGTGTTGTGCAAAAGTTGTACCGAGCCTTCTCACTTAGAATGCGGTCCATTCAGTTCAACTCAGGTAAACAACTACAATCCGGACACCGAAGTGTGGTGGATGCAGTTGCCACGACTCATCTTACCAGAATAACAAGGAACAAAGGTAAGAAAATAGGGCTGAACGTAAATATAATACTCAGAGAATGTGGACAGAGTAGGGGTGCATTAAAATAATCGGGATAAAATTATTACTAACAGTTCGGTGCGAGAAACCTAATGTAGGAACCTCACTGACTGCGTGACTGTAGCAGCTCTGACAGGGTCTCCAACCACCAATGTAGACCATCCTGGGTCCCCCCATCCACGTAGACAGAACGTACCAGCCTAACCAAAGCTCAATTAATTTCTTAAATCTTATATGCCACGTCATAGTCTGGCCACCACCTCACGGTTACATCTAACTTAGTGCAACTACTGCGCATAATGCAAGCCGATGAAAGTAGTCAACAGACATATGAGGATATAATCTAGCAAGTGTTAGCGGTTAGGGTGCAGTAAACACTCTAGTGAGGCAGCAGAAGGCTTCCGGCCAGAAACCAACAACCGGACATCAGCTTTGCTCACGCGGTGATCTCGCCAGTTGTGAGCAATACTCTGCAAGCACCGGTGGTCAAACGCAGTCAAATGTTTAACGTCGTCACTACGAACTGACCAGGTCTCTGATCCACACAGTAACACCGGTCTTATTGCAGCGTTATACACCCTAACTTTCACTGACATGCTGATATTTCGCAGTCTCCATAGATGGATACTACCTGGAATGCTTCACGGGCTTTGCTGATACACCAAGTGACTTCGTCAGTAATGCGACCAAAAGAGGTAACACAGCTAACAAGGCAAGTAAATCGATCCACAACGTCCAGAGAGCATTCGCTGATGGGTGAATCCGATAGCGTATCTGGCCAGTCTTGCACTCTGAATATGCAAAACATGCCGAAGCATGAAGCGTAAGCGTCCGTGTATTCAGTAGTGTTTGCGTAACCATTGCTCCAGACCCGATTGCAAGACGCACTCGCCCACCAACCGATTTAATCTTTGACACGTCAAAGGTTGACAGTTACTAGCTGGCTAATTTGACTTCCTAAGACTTCTCTCCAGGACAGCTTTCGAGTACTGCAGTTGGCAAACTAAATGGATAGTTAAACGACCGCCAAATGCGCCGGAATCGCAAAGCAGTTGTCAAAGAAACATTGTGCCTCTGAATGGACCAATTGTGCTCTCTTTGAATTCAGTATTCCTATCGAGGCGCTACTGTTTGGACAACGTTTTGTCCTATTGCATGTCTTGCGCTTCTGATTCTTTTAAGATAAACCGGGAACTTGAGAACCCATGGATTCCCCATCTTTATCTGTAGGCATTCGCTTCTACACAGGAGCTTGAAGACAGAGGTGCTTCAAATCATTTGCGACTATTAAAAGCAGCATTTCAGAGTCGGCTAGGCGATTTCTACTATTATAGACACTAAAGATTCTAAAAATATCGCAATAGCTCGTAGTCTTGATGTTCTGTGTTGCTTAGTATTTGTCGAAACCCTTGGCATTACAAGATATTCAGCTATGAAAAAATGCACCTCAAATTAAAATGCACAGTAACATTGCTATATATTCGTTCGTATCCCCCCATTTTCAGGCAACCAGTAGGGTTCTGAAAGAATCCTTAAGGATCATATAGCTCGATGTACTAACCATTCAGGGAAGAGGCACATTCAATCTCATTGATCAAGGTAGGCTTTAAAACAATGTGGTACTACCAGTTTTGCTAATAGATCAGACACACGAATACTGCGCATTCGAAATATTACCTAACTGGATCCCCATACTGCGTATAAATTTTTATGTCGTACTAAACAAATCTGTGGGGATCACTAGGCGAGTAGTACAGATGTACTCCTATTTCTCCCTAGCGTCGTTATCATTCGACCCGCTTAAGTGAAAATAGTCATGGTCTTTTCCTGGTCAGCTAACAACTCGCATCATGCCACAATATTCCTGACAGGCAGAACCTCCATCTTTTGATTGTGAATAAAGGCGTGATGTGATTGACCAACAGACCTTATCTTAGCCATTTACGTTGTTTACCTAGTAGGGTACCTAGGGTATCTGACATCGACTGCTGGAGTCATGGCTAGACGTGATGCAGTCGTAGTGACGTTGGGGCCTTCAATATCTGTTAATTATACTCTGCAGTTAAATGTTTGCCTTGTTTCATGAATCTTTCACATACGACTGTGTCTGTACTTGCTCATATTATTACTCTTACAACGTCATGGTTGTCCTTCAATCTAACTTGCGGTATGTTATTGGAACCTGCTCCAGCACATTTAGGTGCACCGATGCCATTTGAGCAGATAACGCTGAACTAGGCTGACCATCGGATACTCTCCCAATGTGATATAAAAAATGGAAACGCCTAGAAATGTCGTCCTATAAACACTTAAAGATTCTGAACTCCCAGCATAGTCTGCTTCAGTTGATCTCGGACCAAGGATCAGAAAGAAATCCCTGTTTCGCGCATTGGGCCTTGGTCCTCCTTGCTTCGCCTCATCAGCGTTTTTCAAAGAGAACTTCGACTCACAAACAAAAACCCGTAAATGGTAACTCAAGCATTTGTTTTCATACAGCATTGTAACCCAGGTAATTGCATTCCATCCGTGCTGTTTGTTTTCGACAATTGCTGTGTCAAATTACTTTCGCGCACGCTCATCTCAAGGACTGCACTGACATGCAACAGCAGTTTCGCGACACTTGTCTGGTTGATCTTGTGCTGTCGCACGCCCGGAAATTATCCCAAATGATATGGCCCATGGGCCAAGTGTGTATCCAATTTTGTCACACGATATCGCATCGGAAGCGACTGTGCTTTGTTTCACGTGATCATGGGGTCGGATTTGCAATATCCGATCGCCTCCATGGCCTGCTGGTGGGTGAACCAACAGGCATCAACGCGCGACTGATGACTGTTCGCCTACGACTCGGAAGAGGTAAGTTTGCCACTTTTATAAGCACGTACAGTCCGACCATGTGTTATCCTGATGACACGCGTGATCAATTCTACACTCAGCTATCCTCCGTGATACGGTCTGTGCCGAGGAGCGACCGACTATTTCTGCTGGGTGATTTCAACGCGCGCGTTGGGCGTGATGCATCGGTGTGGACAGATGTTATCGGTTCGCATGGCATTGGTTCAGCGAATGCGAACGGTGACAGGCTGCTCTCACTGTGTGCCACTCACGGCCTGACGATCACGAACACTCGGTTTGCACTGAGTGCGAGTGATATAGCAACTTGGACGCACCCACGGAGTGGTCACGCTCACCTGCTCGACTATGTCATCGTACGTCAGCGTGATATGCGTGAAGTGCGCATGACACGTGTACTGCGTGGAGCTGAGTGTGGCACTGATCACAAATTGGTGCGGACCAAACTGTACATATATTTTCGTAAATCTATGTATTGCACTCCCGCCGTGAATCGGCGTAAATTTAACATTCTCTCCCTCGGTACTGTGGCGAAACGTACTGAGCTGGAGAAGGCGATGGCTGCACGCCTGTGTGATGTGGAAGGCATAGCCACAGTGGGCGACCTGTGGCACCACATTCGCGACCAGGTGACAGCTGCTGCCGAGGAGACCATCGGGCGCGCAAACTGTAAGCGGCCTGATTGGTTTGATGAGAACAATGCGACGATTGGCGCATTGGTGTCGGAGAAGAATGCAGCATTTGCTGCACATGTGGCAGACCCCAGTGACTTGGGGAAGAGTAGTCAGTTTCGCAAACTTCGACGGCGACTGACCCGAGAGCTCCGTCGCATTAAAAATGCATGGTGGACGGAGAAGGCGAAGCAGATGGAATGCTACGCCGAACGCCGCCAACACAAGGAATTCTTTGACTCCTTGAAGGCGGTGTATGGACCGAGATTGGAGCCGCTGAGGACGCTGATCGATGGTAGTTCAGGCGCTACCTGCACACAGACTGCAGACATAATGCAGATCTGGCGAAAACACTTTGACTGTCTCTTGAACAACCGTTCAGAGATCGACTGGCCTACATTGAACTGCCTGAAGCAGCACGATGTGAAGGCGAGTCTGGCGGACACGCCGACACTGGATGAGACGCAGAGAGCACTTGCTCAGCTGCGAAACGGCAAATGTGCCGGAGCCGACGGGATCCCGCCTGAAGTATTGAAACACGGCGGACCCGCGTTGTTGACTGCGCTGCACCACTTGGTGCAACGTGTATGGATTGAGGAGGAGGTGCCTCCTGAGCTGAA